GCATCCAAGGACTGCTTTAGTCTTCTTAAGCCAGAGCATTACACTGAGAGCTCATGTTCAGCTGACTGCCCATCACAAGCCCCAGATCTTTTTCCTTGTCCTAGAGCTCCCACCCCTAAGTAAGGCTTAGATTCTTTGTTTCCAGATGTACGCATATAGCCATAATCAAAACACATTGTTGACTTGTGTTCAATTTACCAAGCAATCTGGATCACACTGAGTCAGTGACTCTAAACTGCACAATCCCCCTCTGCACATGAAAAGTGAACCAAGGCTCCAAATACCTTTTCCAAAAAAAATCTCTGCAGTCCTATATATTTTTCCTGGCTAGCAGTCCATTTCCACATTCTTCTGCCTTCTTTCACTCATGGGACAAGAAGATCACATGGGCATTCTTCAGCAGCATGCCTACGAGTTCCCTGGAGTCATCTATTATCTGAGAGAGATCCCAGGATGCAGTGTCATTAATGTCAATATGAACCATCACCCATTGATCTTGGTCCATCAACTTCAGAAGCCTATCCAATTTCAGAGCAAAATCTTGTGTCTTGGCTCCCAGAAAACAGCACACCATCCTATTGTCCATCTCTGCCTTGCAGAATGTTTTCAACTCTTCTGAATACTGAATCCCTAACAAGCATCATCTGTCTTTCATAGATGATTGGAGAACTCTTTGTGGGCAAGCTTCATTTTCTTACAAGTTGAGTTAAGCTGTCATCCACAGGTATGTCCCATTCATCTCTGTTCCTTTGGATCTTGAGACATGTCTTCTAAAGTTTCCACATTGCATACCTTGTGTGGATTGGAAACGTCCAGCAGTGTGAACTCCTTTTGATCCTTTGCTTTCAGGTGGCTACACAGTCTGATTATCCTCATTGGTTTCCAACTGGGTAGAATGTAGCTGTGACCTTTTGCCTCTGATGGTTATGAACTCATCTCCTCTCTCTCGCAAACTCCTTGGACACTCCTTATTGTTCATAGATCTTAAAATGGGGTATTATGCCTTGAGGCACAAGAAAGGCATGTTGCTGCATTCATCAAACAAATGAACATGTTTACTGGCTCTTTTTGCGCTAGTATCTTAAAACTGCTTTAATTTAGAAAGTTAATGCTTTTTTTTTTTTTCAAATGAAATTCTTCATTATATACACACTGTTGCAACTGACATTAAGTTGCGGATACTAATCCTTGGCCTCATTAAATGGATGCAGTATCCTGCCAGAACACAGACACAGAAATTGGCAGAGAGAGATGGTCTCTCTAAAACATAGCTAACATGACTCTTCTAAAACAGGATAGCATGTAGCCACTTTTGATCAAGACTAATTTTGTCCTCCTTTAACTTCAACACCAGTGAGTTTTCTTTTGCTTCTCTTAAAACCTTTTAGAAACCAAAATCTAACCAAGTTGTAAATAGAATTTTCAGATGGTTTGGAAATTAACTGAATTTGAAGAGCAATTTTATAAGCTTTATAAACACATGTTTTAAGCAGAAAATCTACCATATCTCTCCCTCATTAAAATTCTTCTTTAATGATAAGTGATTTGGTAGGAGGCTACTGTACAATCAAAATGTTGTGACATTCAGGGCTGGTAAGTCACTTGAGTAATTCCAAAAAAGCATTTCACCTACAACTCTGATTTACTAGTATTCTACATACTGGACATTTTGTAAACATTAGCACCAAACTCCTTCCCTCTGTAACTTCACAAAGTTTGAAAGAGGACCAGACCGGTGCTGCCATGCAGAGATCACAAATGGTCTTCCAGAAATTTAACTGGCGACAGTGGTCTAAGTGAGGCAGGTGCATTCTCCCTACTGAATTTCCTTTACTTAAGGGGAACGGAGACTAAAAATATTCTTGGGCTGCTTTGTCAGAGCAAAACAAGAACATGGACAAATGAGACCCAAAGAGGGTTGCTGATGTTTACTGGGTTATTTGTGTGGTGGCAAAAATTGAGCTTGAATCTCCAAAACCACCAAATACCACCAGTTATACACACTGCATTCTTTAAAAAATTAAAAGCTTCCATGGGAATACTCAGCCTTTCTTTGCACATTCCCCTTATGAGATGGGAAGCAACACAAATAGAATCAAGATTTACAGGCCAAATCTGCGAAAACCTCATTTACATGAGCTAACTGTAAATCCTGTCTACAAACTACAGGGTCAGAAACTCAGCCCTGGCCAAACTCCCTTTGTGCTGCTCCACTTCTATACCATCTCTGTCCTCCTCCTATATATGGGGTAATATTGCTCTAGAAACCCTGGGCTCCTCAATGTCTATTCCAGCTAGTATAAACAAAAACAGCTTCCTTATTGCAAAAGACAAGGAGGTAGTTTAGAGACAGATTTACCTCCCCTACTGTGCGAGCATGCTAATCCCATTCATTTAAGTGGGAGTACTGCACGCATTGAAGGTGAAAGACAACATTAAGAGTGCAATTTGGCTAAGTGGTAATGTGCAATAAATTCAATTTGGCTAAGTGGTAACAATTTATTTAAAAAAAAAAAACCCTGAGGGGGGTAAACACAAACAGAGGGAAAACAGCTATGGTGTAAACTGCCAGAAATGAGCTGAATTTAAAATGGAAACAGTTGGGCTAAATATATATATGAGAAACTTTTCCTGACCATGAGTGCTATTGCAAACAATAGTGACAGAAACACCATTGTTTGGAGTATGTGTGATTAGATTTGACAAGGCACTAGAAAATGTACAAAATGAAACTGTCTCCCGTTAGCAAAGATGGACTAGAACAGTGGTCCCCAACGCGGTGCCCGCGGGCGCCATGGCACCCACCGGGGCATTTGTGTGTGCCCGCCGACAACCTGGGCCAGCCCCGCCCCTGGCGCCGCTGCCGGCCTCAGGCGCGCGGCTCGGGCGGCGGCACTGGCCCTGGGCCCACGGCACAAGGCGCTCGAGCGGCCCCGGGGCACATGCCGGCGCCGTGTGCAAGGGCATCCCCACCCCCCGGGTGCCCGGGAGCCTCTAAAGGTTGGGGACCACTGGACTAGAAGATGATCGAATGAGTCTTTCCATCTCTAACTTGTATATAGAGATAGCCTCGTTATAATTCCTAAATAAATTTGCAATGAACCCGAATGGCACATTCCCAACTAGTAGGTGAGAAGTACAGGGTGACATTTACTACCATTAAACTGTGAAGCACATTAACATCATAAAAACATACAGTCTGAAAAATGTCAGAAAAATGTCAGACCACCATTTAATTTCCATCTATATTTGCTCAGAAATCAATGTTCCTTTATTTAAGTCCTCCTTATACAGTGAATATTCCTCCTGATTTGTACAATATGTTGCTTACTTGTATCATCTTTATGTAGGAGAGAAAGGATAGTAACGTGTGTATTGAAGGGAGGAGGATTATAATAAAAGAATGTTTGAGGGCTGAAAAAGAGTGCACTAGGGGGAAACAGGTTTGTATGGTTAATTACATAATACAGGTCTTTTAACACACATTTTATTAGCCTGTCACTACAGTTACTAGGAAGAGATTTTTTTCAATCTATCTCTTTATGTTGTTACTAAAACTCTCTCTCCGCCTCCACACTATTATAATCATCAATGCTTAGCTCTTTATATTGCATTACATTGGTCTCAAAACGTCATGTACAATCATAAGCAATTCCAAAAGCATGAAGTTCTCAAAATAGACAAAATTTAAATATGCAGTTTAAAGTCATAATAAAATAGGTGTTTGTCTCAATATTTTCCCCTCTATTATACTTATCAACATTAGCATCCCAGCTTCTATATTAAATTTTATCCAAGCCATTTTGGAGTAATCTAGTATAGAAGACAACCTTTGGGTATGTTTGCATTTACTAGTCGGTATGGAATACACCACTTATTCAGACTTGGCTTACTATCAGCTCTACAATATGTATCTCCAATATATTTTGGATAGGTATTTTCAGGACTGCTAAGATGAAGTAAAAAAATTAGGTCTTGTGAAATAACTCTTTTTCATGACACAGAAATGAGGTATTTCAAAAGGGAAGAATTCCAAAGAAAAACGTGTTTATATAGGAATTTAGTTTTCCATCTAGTTCAACAAGTTACAAATTGGTTATTGTATCTGACAAACAAACTGCATAAGAAAGTGAAAGATCACATTTTTCCTATGAGAATATTTTATTACAGTTTATAGCGTACATAGGTGATTTGAATGTGAAATGTACGCTATATGTGAAAAGGCACGTTTTTAAAAGATCTTGCCACTTCTAAAGGTTGCCTTAGACATTAAATCCTTCATCCACAGGACATACAATTCTTCTCCCACTACAATGAGGAAGGAAAACCTACAGCAGCAGCAGGTTCTTAACACTTGGGAAAGATTTTCAGGCCTTGTTTAAAATTAGCCAGACAGCATAGCACTAAATGCTAGCCCCTTCAAAGGCTGTCAAATGCTATTCCTTAAGTAATTCAAGGAAAGGGGCGTTAGTGAGTTACTCTGAACATTATTAACACCACAGAACTTCCACGCGCCTGAGGCCGGCACCGGCGCCACTCGAGCACCGCGCGCCCGAGCCCCTGCATGTGCCCCGGGGCTGGGGCCGCCCGAGCGCTGCGCACCCAGCGTCGGTGTGTGTCGCGCACCTGGGGCCGGCGCCTCCCGTGCACCGGGGGCGGGGCTGGCCCAGGTTGTTGGTGGGCGCCCACGAATGCGGGACCACGGTTCTAGTGTAAGTGTGATGTGTGTTCCGCTGAACACTTGAAAAAAAAATCAGACAACTTAATTCAATTAGTACAAAAGCAGCAAGGCAATGGAAGCCAAAATGATAATTTTTCATGTTAGCACAATTTCATGTAAAATTTTAAAAATACTGGGTTCCCCAGAATGGTTATTTCACTACAACATTAGTTTAAATATTTCTCTATAAAGAGGATCTTTTCTTTAAAAAAAAAAATTGTAAATGGGATTCTATCCAATTCCTCACAGGTAATAGTGACTAAAGTAAGTTTTCACATACCAGTTGTGAACCATCAGCTTCTGCACAGCCAGAAGAGCATTATAGCGAACTTGCTGATCTTCGTGATGCATGTGGTTCATTACAAGCTGTTTACCACCAAGCTGCTCAATCACTCTGGGGAAAAAAAAAAAGCACACATTTTCAAATATCTTGCAATTACATCAGCCTCTGCCTGCTGACAATCAGATAATCTTAACAACTTAGGACCAAGGGATTCAAACAGCAGGCTTATGAGTCACAAAGAAAATGGTAAAGGCCATTAATTTCTTATTTCATATTCACAGTAAATGTGAGGATTTCCTTATTTCTAAACACTTTTGTAGGCACACTCCTTGCCTCCCCTTTTTCAACAAGAAAGCCCTCCATATAAAAGCACTACTTCTACAAAAATCCCAAACACCAGAAGCAAAACTAATCAAAACCAACCCTAAACTGATCTCTGAAGGGACACTGCTGAGTGCCTGACCCTGAACAAAGATACCAGATCAACTTTCACCATAACCCCTGAGCCTTCCCTTTGAAAGCATGCCACTACTTCTAATCACAAGTGGAGAGGGAAGTCTCATAAAAAGTCGGAAGGGTCAATCACTGTGTCTCAGATAAAATCCCTGTCTGGTAGTTTAGTTTTCCCCCCTCCAAATGCTGCTCTTGCTTGCAAAATGACAGTAGCCACTCTCATCTAACCCACACTCCCAACAAGTGTTCTAATCGAAACAGCAGAAACTTCTCTCCCTCGACATGCTAATATCTCAAAAATAATTTATTCCTGTTCTCTCCCCCATGCCTTTTATGTCCTGTTTTCTTGGCCAGGCCTTACAAAAAAAAAACCAAAGGCAAGAAAAGGAAATATCTACTCATAGTATACAATGGACAGAGAGAGAGAGAGAATCTAGATATATTTAAAATTCAGCATTGCTATCCATCAATTGTTCCTCCTGTAGTCTCCTCATGAGATTAGCATATCAAGTGAATAGCCAGTTTATTAATGAGGTATATATACACGTTTATTGCATATTGCTCTCACATGTCCCAGATAATTAAGAGTAGTATCCTGTGAAAAAATTAGGGATGAACTCATTCTTACATATTAACTTGTTGCCTGCTACTGTACCTCAAATGAGTAGTCTGTATTACTGTCACTACCCTATTTATATTTGAATAACTGTTGAATAATGTTTAATAGATGAGCAACATAATTATTTTTAAATTAGGCAATAATATAGCATTCTTGCTGGACTTCAACTTCACTGACATTATAATTTCTAACTTGGCCATAACAGTAAATGAAACAAAGAAACATTATCAATGTGTTACTTTACACAATGGTAAGATGCTTTGTACAAAATGACTGCTTTCCAATCCCATTACCATTATTATATATCAATGTCCTCAACATGAATACTAAACATTCTTAATAGCATAGGAAGCTCATAAAGGTTTATTTCTGCTTAAGGCCTCCTCCTACCTTTCAAAAAAAAAAAAAAAGTTATAAAATACAAGCAATAGCTCGTTGTAGGGCTCTGACTTTTACAAGATGCTAAATAGTAAAAAAGTAGCAGAAAGAGATGTTCAAATGTTCTCCTCTTACAAGTTAAAAAGAAAATGTAAAATTCTCTGTCATCACAAATAATGCTGAGCACTCCAGGTGACAAACACTACAGTGGAGCAACACTGGGGCTGAGAATTTAAAGTCATGAAATCCAGTATTATTGTTCCTACATCAAGTATAACTTGGCCTACTTATGCATATGCAGTATTTTGTGTTACTATGCTTGATGTTAGCTCTGCCTTAATACAGAAGTACAAGTTCTGAAAGCAACAGCTGCACTAGGAAATCCAACTACAAAAGTTTCCTTCTCCAATCCATGAACACCTCAGATATTTAGTTTAATGTCGCCTCTTCCTCTTCTTTCTCCCTCAAAGCTGGATAAAGGCAACCAGCTAGTCCAACTAGTGACAAGTTACAGGCACCTGCACTGTGGATGAATGACTTTCACAGTGAAATAAGGAGATGAGCAGTAGCATGAACAAAGAGAAAGAAACCTGAATTCATTCAATCCATTCTAAGTTGAAAAGTGAGGAGTTCGAATAAACCAAGAGGAATTCAGCAGTGGAGCAAGGAAGAGTATGCCAGCAAAAGGCATTAAAATTTACACTTTGCTTGCACAAGACCAGGCTGAGGTCAGAGAGATGGTCCTCAAGATGCTCTCTGATCTTAGGAATTAAAGAAGAGGAGAATTACTCCACGTGTTAGTCAACATGGTTATCACCAGAAGAACATCTCAGCCGAGTCATGAGTATACACCTTCTACTATAGCACACAGTGACTTTGAACACCGAAAGGGTTGGAGACCTCTTCCCACCTGAGACCTGTCTCTTCCTTCTCTTGTCAGAGGAAGGTGTGCAGGAGAACGTGGGATCCTATTTGATCTCCCCTGACAAGCACTTTGTATTAGACCATAGGAATGATAATAAAATAGGATTACATACTATTGTACAATCATATTGTTTGGCAGTATAAATTAACATAGTTCCATTGATTTTAACTGAGCTGAATAACTAACACTTGAACTTGAGGATCTGGTACATCATTTCTAAATGTTTAATATTTGTAGCTTTCCTTAAACCAGTGTGGTGTTTTGAAATAACCTAATCAAAAGAATAAAAACAAATCTTTGGTCTAATGACAAATAAAAAAAAAGAGTGGAGCATCAATAGCCAGGACGGGAATTCTAACTCTCACCTTAATGCAATTAATAACTAAAGGATGTTTTACCTTTTTATATTTAAGCTTCACGGGCTTCAAGTTCTAAGGACAAAAGTTTTAAACAACTGAACTTTTTGCTAAACAATGGAATTCTTCTATTCTTCTGAACCAGCCTCCAGTGTCACAAGATTAACTGAAAATGAAAATTGCCAATATGATCCCACATCTAGATTCAAATTTGATAATTTTATACTGAAATCCAAATATCACATGGAAGGAAATGGAAAATTCAGCTTTAAGTGAAACACCGCTTTAAAGATAATATGCTCAAGTCACAATGAATAAAGATTTCATTAGTGTTCCCGTATGTGCCTTCTAAAGAACAAGTTATTATTCCTGTTTTAAACATCTGAGCAGGGCTCTCTTTTAGCAGGAAACATTTTGGTTCATATTTTGTAATAAAGAGCTACAGCGCCCATACAGATTTTTGTACCTAGAAGATATTACTCTACTTTCAGTATTCATAACTTAATATGCAAGTATGAATGTTTCATTATGAATGTGATATTTTAATGGACTGGAATGACAGGGTTATTTTCCTGCACCCTCTGACTTTGAAGTTTAAAGCTTTGCTGAAGAAGTAAAAAGTACAAAGCTATGGTGAGCAGGGTGTGATGGTAGCATCACGGAGTACACTTTTAAAACTTCAGCTGGGGACTTGTGCGCACAATATGGTTTTGGATTATGGAAAAAGTTTAGTAACGTATTCCTATTTAAAACCCAGCCTAAGAATATAAAATATTGACTACACCCTATCTTCAGACAAAATTATGGATTGTTATCTCTTCCTAAACTCTAATTGAAGGTCATAGATTTCTTTCAGCTCAGTCAAACAACTCTCCAGTATTGTTCAATACATATGGTCTGATGGCCACACTTGAACTTTCAATAGATTCTAGACAACATACTTGATTTGCTCTTATATTTTAAGAATATCTGCAGTTCTAGTAGCTAAAATAAGATTAGAGCAGCTGTCAATTCTCCGTACCCCATAACTGTGTACACGTTCCCTTCCCACAAGTACACAGTGAAATCAGTTACTAAAGTTTTAATAAGGCTCCAGTAGCAGTCAGGGATAGTGCACTAATCTAGATGTGCCTCTAATCCATGCCAGGAATTCTCTTACAAAAGACAAGAACTTTTCCATTTTTTTCATTAAACCTCATCAGGAGATGAATTACAGCTCATCATTTCTTCACAGGGGAATTTTTTTTTTTAATTACATGTATAAATATGACTTGCAAACATGAGAGCTGCAAAACCCTATCAAGGTCTCTGAGACAAAGGCCACAAGTGTGTCAGATCAAGATCAGCAGATGTGACTAAACAGGTTCTCTAATATTACATGAACAAAGCTATAATATGGTGACAGGGTGAACCAGGCCCAGGCACCTCCCTATGGAGGCCTCATGGTCCTGCCACACCTTGTCCCAAAAAGAAGCAGAAGAAAAGTCTTCCAAACAGCGTAGAGCAGTTGCAGGGAAGCAGCCAATGACAGAGGTGTAAGGAACAGCCAATCAGTGCCATATAAAAGGAGCTGCAAAACAGAACAGTAATCAGTTGATGCCTACAGCTAGAGGAGGGAGAACTGTGTTCCTGGCTGGATGAGAGCAGCAGAACCATGGACAACTCAGTGTACACAGGTACCTGAGGAGCCCCTGGCTGATTGCTGGACTGAGCAAGGACTGAGCCTAGGGAGGGTCACAAGACAACAGTGTCTCCAGGAAGGAAGCTCTGGGGGTAAAGCCCCATACCAGCGCTGGGACAAGTTAAAAACTGTATCCCAGAAAGGGTTTGTTCTGTTTCACATACAGAGACTGAGAGAGACTCAGAGGGCTGAGTCACTGAAAGACCACTTGAGAAATCATTGACAGGGGGTCACCATAAACTAAAAGACAAACAGCACACCCATCTAGAAGGCAAATCAGAAAAGTGTGCTTGTGAAAGGTGGTTAACACACCCCATTACCATATGGTCTTTTTAAAAAAAAAAAAAAAAAAAAAAGTATCTGACAGTACATAACTTGTAACCCTTTAAAAACCTATATATCACCTACTAATATTATGAACCCTGCCCTGCAGAAGCATCTCACTTTTCAAGTTTCATAGATTTTCAAGTTTTCTAAGTTTCACAGATTTCTTCACTGACAGACCATTGTAACATTTGTATTTGTTTGCCTAATATAAATAATAAGTTTGTCTGCCTTTATACTATATCAGCGATATTATACATTTCAAGTAAAATATGTAATATTTTGGGTAAGGTATTTAAATTTCTATGTATTTTAACTAATATTTTATATGGAGTATGGTACCAGAATATAGTAGTTTAATTTATCTCAAGAATTACCAAAGCAATATTTTATGAGAAATAAATCTTAGCTTAAAAACAACAAAATGGTTATCACGACAAGAAACTGAAGGATTTGTTACTATGTGGAGAAAGCCCTGTAATATTATATTTTGTATTAAGATCTTGTCTTTTTAGATATATCTTTGTTAAGTGTTCTTACAGAATCTCTGTAACATTTCTCCTATAACTTTGTATTAAGATATATAGATCTTGTAAAAAAAAAATGTCTTTTGAGCTCTCCCCTTTCCTTGATTGCCCTGTTGAAATGACTGAGGTGTGAATGGAGAATGAAAGGTGAGCACCTCTAGCAGCAGCTGCAAGGGTGGAGGAGGTCTGGGAGCCAGATCCAAGACAAGACCTGCAAAGTGAGCTCGTTAAGAAGACTGGACATACAGACACCATGGGAGTCAAGCAGCAAGTGCCTGCCCTTGGAAGAACTCTCTTTGAAGCAGCATTAAGAAAGGCCAGTTGATGACTAATTGGCTGCAGGAGAGGGATAAATAGGAGGCATCTTGCAGAGGGACCCCCGGTTTTCCTCTTGTCAACATGCGAGCATCGATCCGGATTGGCAGAAGCCTGGCTCCACCCCTCCCCCATCTAACTCACCTGGCCAGTGCAGTTAGGGGGAGCAACTTTTGGTAACAACAAGATGGAGTGTGCTTGTGTGTGTGTGTGTGAGAGTGCATGAGCGTGATGTGTCATATGCATATGATAAGTATTGATTATTCTGTGTGTGATCAATAAATGTGGCGTGTTGCCTTATCCCTCTGAAAAAGATCCCGAGTACTTCTTTTAAGTACAACAACTAAAGCTTCCCCATGACTAACGCAAGACTAATATTCTGGTGTTTATAATAAAATTCTGATAAATACTTTCAATATTCATCAGGTCTGTGACTGAAGTGATTATAATAGCTACTAAATGCCTGAACAATTTTCAAGAGCCCTTTAAATGTATTTTCCTCCTTAGTTAAAATCCCCAGAAAAAAATTTACTTTATTGCTCACAGGACCAAACAGCTATTTAATATTCCTAACTACCTGTTTTATAATTATGTTGTGGAAGTTGCAGCTCTTGTTGTACAAGCACAGTGTTTAGTAGGTGAAGTGGAATATTCTGCTGCCTTGGCAGTAAGCATCGTGAGTGATAAAGGCAAAGAAAGTGTTTAGCTTACCGCTTCCCTCGAGGATAATGTCGTACATATTCACCCACATCATGAGCAGCTACAGCTAAGACTTGCGGATCATCAGAAACCTCCAGAAGCTTTGTCAGGATTCTACAACAGGATTTGAAACAATCAGATGCTAATTTCTCTACAAAGTTCTAATTTAAAGTAACTTCGTTTCAGAGACCAGAAATACATCATGTGTCACCTGTTCAGTAAAACTGGGATTATAAACACAAAAACACACTTCTCAAGCAACAAGTAGAAATTGAATAGCAAAAACTATCTACTCCAGGCAAAAGGCCATCGCAACAGCATCTGCATGCAACTGCCTCAACCATTTTATATATAATGTTGTTCATATCACAAGCCTGCAGAATCAACAGTGAGAACTTGAGCTCAAGTCCACCAGCCAAGCTTATGAAATTCAACAGTGTGGAGAAAAAAACTACAGAATTTGCAGGTCTACAAGCTCTGTTGCTGCTAACTCCATTCCATGATTAAGTGCCCACTGTACCCATAGCCCTACCCCAAGAAACAGGACAGATGATTCAGAATCCCAGAATACATCATGGCTTTGTGGCTTGCTGTATGTAGCATGCCAAAATGGTCCTATCAGAATGGTTGTGTGATTCCACCAAACTGCTGTCAACACACCTTTCATGCACTACCCCCCACAATGGTTTCCTTGTTTACTGTAAGCTATCCCAATGACAAACACAACCAGATTTTTTGACAGAGCAGGATGACAATCAATCATTATCCATGACTGCAAAGAATTAAAGTGCATTACAAGAGTAGAGAAGAAGACATGTTACTGGAGATGGAGAGTTACAGCATTTTAAAACTTTCTAATTGTGATTTTCTAGTTTCAAAGACACCATTAACAGCAAAGAAATATGCATCCTTTTCTGCACTTATCTACTATGCTTCAGCAAGTAACTCTGATTTTCTTAAAAACCAAGATTACAGAGGAGATACCACATCAGAATCAAGGAGGACGTTTGTTAGTTATATCCTTAGCAAGACAAAAGATATAATTCTGTAAGTTTCATAAAGAAAAGAGTGCTCTTCAAACTTCAACTCAGTATGCAAAATAAAGATAAGCAATTTGAAGGCAATTCAACAAGAAAACATTTGCCAGTGTAACTCTTCACTAACAAAAATACAATTTGACATTCACAAATTATGGTGGTCAGAGACCACAGGTTGTTTAAGGTAAGTCATGGAAACTTGATGAAAGAGGAGGGACAGACTGCCAGAAAAATTGATGTGTCTGTGCTCAGTGTGAAAGGAAGAAATATGAGCTCCCAGGATAAAATATTAGTAATTAAGAGAAATATTAAAGTAGGCTTAAAAAGAGTTGTTTAGAACAACTCCACTCAGGAAGTTTCCACACCAAAACAATAATAATCCTAAAAGTCTGAAGTGAAATGGCTTCATAGCTTGTGCGTCTCACTGGAATCAGATCTGAATTTCAAACAGGCCACTAAATTCAATACAGAAGAGGAACAAAAATATTGTAGGATTAATTATTTAGCCCAGTCTTTGTTCCTGTCCCTTTACAGTTGGATAAGAACACCACTTGTATAGAAGGTTACATGAGCACTTCAAAACTTCTGCTGTAATTTACCAAAAAAGACTAAAAGATCACTGATTGGGATGAAGAATGCAGAAACGGTTTCTGAACAAGTTGTAAGGTTCTCCTCCCATATCTGCTTAATGTGTAAAATTATAAATGGTCCTAGTACAGAAACAATCATCATTGCCTGGATAAAGATTAGGGTTGGGGGCTTTCTTTCACCAGCCCCAAGCTCCAAAATACAAATTAAAAAAAGACGAGAGCAGCTCATTGTGCACTGAAGATACTAAAGTGTCTCAGACTGAGAGTCAGAGAGAGGGATTGTATCAATTCTAGGGCTGTTAATTAATCACAATTAACCCACATGAGTAACTCAATAAATTATTCTAATTAATAGCAGTTTTAATTGAACAGAATACTAACTGAAATTTATTAAATACTCCTGATGTTTTCTACATTTTCAAGTATGCTTCTACATTGACAGAAAATACAAAATGTACAGAACTCGCTTCATATTGTAATAAACATATTTCATTATAAATATGGTAAATAAAAGAAACAGTATTTTTCAATTCATCTCAGATACTGTACTATAATCTCTACCATGAAAGTACAATTTACAAATGTAGATTTTTTTATTGCTAAACAACTGTGTTCAAAAATAAAACAATGTAAAACTGTGGAGCCTACCAGTTCATTCAGTCATACTTCTTGTTCAGCCAATTGCTAAGACAAGCAAGTTTGTACACATTTACAGGAGATAATGCTGCTAACTTCTGATTTACAATGTCACCTGAAAGATATTTATGTGCCAGATATGCTAAACATTCATATTCTCTTTCATGATCCAACCACCATTCCAGAGAATATTCTTCCATGCTGATTAGTAGTAGAGAGGTAGCCATGTTAGACTGATCTTGCTAAAACAAAAGGAAAAACTATATAGCGTTTTAAAGACTAACAAGATGGTTTAATAGATGATGAGAGTTCGTGGGCCAGACCCACTTCCTCAGATCATATTCTGGAAGAGAATTAAAAAAAATATGTTAATTAAATTTGTTAGTGACTTACTTGGGGGACAATTTCAAGTCTCCTGCTCTGTTTTACCCACATTTTTGCCATGTATTTCATATTATAGCAGGCTCAGATGCTGACCCAGCATATGCTGTTCATTTTAATAACACTTTCATTGCAGATTTGACAAGACACAAGGAAGGTACTAATGTGAGATTTCTAAAAATAGCTTTGTTACTTGACCCAAGGTTTAAGAATCTAAAGTGTTTTCTAAAATCTGAGAGGTTTGTGGGGTGGAAGATGCTGTCAGAAGTCTTAAAACCGCAATACTCCAATGTAGAAACTACAGAACCCGAACCATCACACACAAAAAAAGCCAACTACCATGTGTTAGTGGCATCTGACTTAGACAATGGAAATTAACATGTCAGTCCACACTGCTTTGGACTGTTATCGAACAGAACTAACCCATCAGCAGCATGGATGCATGTCTTCTGGAATGGTGCTGAGGACACAAATGGGAATACTTCAGGACACAAATAGGAAGACTACAATGTAAATAAAAAGTAGTCAGCATTATCTCCCGCAAATGTAAACAAACTTGATTGACTGAGCAATTGGCTGAACAAGAAGTAGAACTGAGTTTGACTTGTAGGTTTTAAAGCTTTTCATTGTTCTATTTTTAACACAATTATTTTTGTACACAGTACAACATTTGTATGTTCAAACTTTCATGATAGAGAGATTGCACTATAGTACTTAGAAATATAGGACTGGAAGGAACCTCAAGAGATTGTCTAGTCCAGTCTCCTGCACTCATGGCAGGACCAAGCACCAACAAAAACACCCCGACAGATGTTTAACTTGCTCTTAAAAACCTCCAATGATGGAGATTCCACAATCTCCCTAGGCAATTTATTTCAGTGCTTAACCAGCCTGTTAGGAAGTTTTCCTAATATTCAACCTAAGCCTTCCTTGCCGCAATTTAAGCCCATTGCTTCTTGTCCTATCATCACAAGTGAAGAACAATTTTTCTCCTTCTTCCTCTTAACAAATATCAGAGGGAAGAACAAGAGGCATTCTGTTTTACAATCCTTAGTAAAAGAAAGATAAGCAAAAATGTCCTCAGCATCTTCTCTTATACTTCTAGTCGCATCTAGGTTCTGTTTTTGGCTTGCTAGCACCTACCCAGGCTCCAGTCTCAAATAGTCATAAAAGATTAACTGAACTGTGCAGTGGATGAAAGAGGTAAAGTTGGAGATCATCTACACAATAAAGGCACCACTTACTATATCACTTAACTAAAGCTACCCCCCGGCATACAGATTAAATGGGGGTGTTGCTCCAGAACAACAGATCCTAGTATCTCAGCAAATATATACACTGAAAAAAAACTCAAAAAAAAAGGGGGGGGGGGGGACTCAAGCTTTTGAGGGACATCTTTTAAGAGAAATATTGATTTAAATGATTGATCATAGCCCAAGGTACTCTGAGCACTACCAGAACCTCAGCGAGAGACTTTCAGCAATTCAAGCAGATGACTGCTAGTTCCTATTCTGTCTCCTCAAAGGTTGACAAGCTAGTCTGAACAATCTTAAACAAAGCAAAGTGAAAAAATTATTGAGGCATGAAACACTGGTTTCTGTAAGTGTGACAAGACTCTCCAGACACCCGCGTGCCTACTACTGGGACTCCATAGATTCTGTGCTGAAGGTCAAGAAACTCTGTTGCACAGCCACAAGCTGTCCAATCTCATGCCATGCCTTCTTCTTTATCACGCACTCCAACCATTTCCGGGTTTTACATGTTGTATAAATATTGGCTGCAACACTGACACAGAGGAACAAATTAGAACAAGAAGGGCCACAAAAATCAACCAGACAATTAACAGAGCATTCACAACAATTTAAAATCCAACTTTAACTGGATTCTGAAAGCCAGCCAAAAAGAAAGGTACTTATCATGGACAGAGTAGGATCAGTAGCTGCACTATTAAATCCCACCTCAGAAACTAGATACAGTGTGGACCGTAACGTATTGAGCCAAAGGTCTCACAGAATAATCCCATATCTCTAAAGAGATCCTCAACCTCAAAACCAAAAAAAAAGGTATTATTTAGAAGAGTGATGGGACGTCTCACAAAATGTTGAGTAAGGTACAGTGAAGTCAGATTTTGGGATTGTATTAGCGGGTATTACTTAAAGTTTATTTAACTGAAATAGTTCAAACATCATCATGTGAGACTGCAAATTAAGCCAGCGTTTTTGACACGATATCTATTATGTAATCAACAAAGTTGTGATGGGGTATATCAACCCCACACTGGAGAGCAGAGAGTGAGCTCTGCCCAACTGGTTGAAAGAGTCCCTCCTTTACGGCCCTGATGGGCATGCTCCCAGTGGAACTGGACTAAAAAAACCCTCGGACAGCTCAGTCCAGGCGGCCCGCTAATGAGGAAGGAGCCGCTGGGATAACCCCAGAGTGGTATAGCCACCTGTTGCCGGCAAGAGTAAGTCTCAGGTCCGACACTGGGTTCTCAAAGTACAAAGGACACTACATAAGTATCTGTCAAGCACAAGTAGTTTATTTCCTGACAACTAACAGCTGCACCCCTTAACTAGAAGGGCAACATAACAAAGAAGCGGCATCTCTTACGTCCCTTCCTGCTAGCCGGGGATCCCGAGTCGGCTGCGGACCAAGTGGGAGGTTGTCTCAGCTTCCGAGGTGCCGGTACCCAAAGCCCATCGGTGAGGTCCACAATGCTGTGCTTTGGTGCAGCCTTAAATACAGTTCTCTTGCCTTGTTTTGCAGTTTGGAAATTTCCAGGGGTTACTCATTACGTGCTGATGTAGGGCTTTGCTCTTAGTTATCGATCTGGTCCTGATCTAGTTCTACTTGTTCTTTGGCCTTGTTTACGTGATCAGTATGTTAGGGTAAAAAGAACTGTGTATGCGTTCTTGCCCTTTATCCTTATCTTATACTTGTTCTTGCTATACTGGCAACAATGCTTATCTTAAATGGCGTATGTTCCCAAAGACTTGCTTCTGGCTCATCAGATATAGGGGAAAGGGGGGAAAGAACGCAGGCCTCATCCCCCCTAAACTTGTATGTACAAAGGTCTTCTGCAATTAACCCCTACTCCACCAGACCTTCCAGCAGCAGGGGCCTCCCAGAGGAGGTCACCCCTCAACAGAAGTACCTTGCTCAGTTAATGAAAACAACCAATTCAACATCTAAGCAGATAATTCTCGCTTTCAAAAAAAGCCGCACACACTTTGAATACTAATGTTCTGACCGCCTCTTCTTCCTGGGTAATGTTTCTACAAAACTAAATTACGGTACTTATTGTTCATGTTGAAATAAATACCACAGTACACTTGGTTTGAATTTGAAAACTAGAAATATACTTTAGAGAACAGTAAGGCGAGAGAATGAGAAGTTTATGAAAACTCAAGAACTTACTTCAATAGCTCATAATTCTTTTCGTTTAATCTCACAGCATTCTCTCGCCAAAATTTTTCAGATTTGTGTACAGGACTCCATTCCAATCTTCCTGACTTGAGTTCAGAACTGTACTCATCAAATGAGCTAGGATGCAAAAAAACACACAAGGTAAAATTCTAGTTTCCCAGGAATGGGCCCTGAACAATATATAAGGAGATGAGCTGCTGGAGAAACAGTAGGATTTATTACAATAAACTGAAAATCATCATTTTTACAAAGCTGTATCAAAATTCTTATCTGGGTAAGTTGTTAAAACATTGATGGAACATCCTAAAAAAAACATGAAAGTGAACACAAGTTGAGGGAAGAGGACAAATATTTTCTGAAAGTTCTCTCACTTGGCCCACTTCAGAAATGTAAGCCTTAGGCCTGATGTACACTAGAAAATTAGGCAGGCACAACTATGTTGATGTGGGATGTGAGAAAAATCCACATCAAGTGACTTTGAGCCAACTTAAGTATTCTATCACCCAGAAACTGAGCTGTCCATATACTGCTAGAAAAATACAGTGTAGCAGATCATCACCAGTGTATCTACATTTTCTGTTTCAAAACATAATAAAAATCAGTAAATTTACCAGTATTTCAAGTGATAGTGTTAAAAGTGTATACTAGAAAATATACCTAAGATCCTGGACACTCTCACCAAGTTTTTCCAGTAGAAACTTAATATCCTCACTTATGTCTTCATCATCATACTTCTGCTGATCCAAGTTCTCTAGTTGCTTTAGAATTTTGCATTGGATCATAGCGAGAGCATATTCTTGGCGAGTTTCTCTTTCAGTAGATTTTTCTAAAAGATTCTGAAAAAAAAGACCAATTTAAAAAATTCAATGTAAATAATCATTTACAATTTAAAAATACTAATATTTATTACCTATTTTTCAGCTAAAAACATCTAAGATGCAATTAAATTATGCAAGAAGGTATGCATTTTCATCAATAGTGTAAATCTTTTATAAAAATGCTTACTTGAGAGGGCAGTATTATGAGTCAACAAGGATTTCAACAGGTTTTGGCCCTAATTTTCAGTTAGGTTAGTTCAATTACGTGTATTACTTTGCAATGGTATGAAAGTGACTGATTTACGTTATTCCCACATAACTTCCAATACAGAGAGTAATATAATGGTTTTAGGAACTAGAGACAGGCCTTGTCATGCACAGTTCACGTCTGAATCTAGAAGTCAGCCTCCTCAAAGTTTGGGCATATTCAGATCAGAGATTTTAGCTCAAACCCATCTCTATTAGTAGGAAGAGTGCTGACAATCACACAATGAAATCATTGGCTGCTGCATTGAATCCTAATATCAGTTCAATTTAATCAAGTTGAAATTATGCTATTCAATCAAAGTCAGTCACTTTTTATTCTGATAATGCTTATTATCAATATAAAAAAGCCTCAGTAAGCAAAAGATATGTTCCTATGATATCTTTCAAGCAAGGGAGAATTAACTAGACCACTAATATAACATATGCACTGTGGTAGAGCTGCAGGTCCCAGAATATTAGACAAGGCCAATGAGGTAATATCTTTGACTGGACCTGAAGAAGAGCTCTATGAAAGATCAAAACTTGTCTCTTACCAACAGAAGTCTGTCCAGTAATTTAGTAAAGTTTCAATTATCATTTCTACTAAATTTCCCAATACTTTGCTTAAATTATAAGCAAGCGATGTTCATATTTAGGGTTCTTCAAACTAGGGATGTAAAGGACTAGTCGACTATCCAATAATCAATGCTTATCCGATAGTGGACAGTATAGTCGACTAGTCGTTCCCCTCCCCCCACCTGCTGCCTCTATCAGAGGCAGCAACGGGGAGGGAAAAGGGGGGGGGGGTACTTCAAAGCAGCAGCACCGCACAGAGCCCGGGGTCAGCTGCTCTGTGAGGCACTGCCACTTTGAATGCCATGGGAAGCTCAGCATCAGGAACTTCGCGGCATTTCACAGTGGCAGCACTACTTGAAGCCCAGGATTAACTGGGGACTCCCCAGCTGCCCCCAGGATTCACGCTGCTGCTTTCAATGCTGCAGAGAGCCCAGCATCAGGATCCTCGCAGCATTTCAAAGAGGCAGCACCACTTGGATCCCAGGATCAGCAGGGGAGTCTGCAGCTGACCCCAGGCTTCAGCGCTTTCGCCTTTGAAATGTAGCAACAGCCCTAGTTGCATCGACTATTCAGTTAGTAAAGTACCCAATACTTATTTCTTTTAAATATAACCATTTTTTTTTTTTAAATTTACTCTCAAGTTCTACTGATGCCCTTAATAGACAAGCACATATAAACTAGCTTAAATGGATGACAAGATACTCCCAATTTCATAACCTATCATCCTTTACATCCTGACAGCTGGAAGAATGTTTAGGCACAAGTGCCAACCAAGATTTCTGTGGTAACATTAATACACTTTTTTGTGCTTTATATCCTAGAGCTTTTTAAAGAAGATTCACAAAAAAACTCCAAACATGCATTTCCTGTAGACAAAGGTATGTTATTGGACAATCCTAAAAACAAAAAGTTATGCTACTCAACAGTTAGCATAGACTGAACATCCTTCTCCAATCCAGAGCTATAGACTAAGGAGGAGAGAAAGTGATAGGAAACCTCTCTGCAAAACATGATGATGATGATGTGTAGCCAGACACAAAACCCCATCTTGTTCCCCCCCCCCCCAGAGAGCAAGAGAAAGGCAGTCAGCCTTTGATGCCCTGGGAACACAGGTGTGGTGCCTGTCCCTGACTCTACCATAAACAGAAACCAGACAGTAAATGGGCTAGCTGACGACCCGGGGCCTCCCGTCGCCCTGATGGCTAGTACCAGTAATTGACATGCCTGCACTGTCCCAGAGAGGAATCTTCACCCATCACATACCAGAGGTACCCATTGTCTGCATTTTCCCAGGTGTGAATTATGCTTTGCACCCTTCGTGGGAAACTTGGCATTCAAAGCCATTTTTCCTAATTGGCCACTTGAGCCCAGGAAGAAGCCTACATGACCCAAGGGGTATAAAAGAGGCTCAGCAGCCCACCCCATTTGAGCTCCAATCATCTATACCTGCTGGCAGGTATTGATTGTCTCCCGAGGTCTGTGGGACGCCCAACCTCGCCCTACTTCTTCCCGAGGGATTGAGAGAAAGACGCTGGCCACGCCAAGTCTGGAACGCAGGGGTGAGAATATATACCTGCTATGTGTCTATTTTGCATGCATTTAATAAGAGCTCAGAGAACCAAAAGGGTTTCATGGTACCTGTAAGTGACTTATTAGTGTAATTTCTGTCCTGTCCTTTGTAGTGGCTGTGTTATCTGTAACACAGCAGTAGCATTTAACAACTAAGTTTACCCTGTAACAATAAAATAGTAACTGTTTAAGCTTTAACCTGACTCCTTCAGTTGCTGTAACAGAACCAAGCACAATTTAAAAGAACTTCAGCCGGTCATAAGGGACTCACTGCCCTGACCGTCGGCTGACATGATGATGATGATGATTCAGGAAATTTTTAGCCAAACACAGAGCAGACTAAAATGAGAAAGCAGATTCCTGTGTTTTGAGTTTCTCTGCCCAGAAGATCCAATGCACTGTTGGACTCAAGATCCAACAAGTATCAATTTGCATGAGACATCATATATTCATACACTATTATGGTAGGGTGGGAGAGTTTGCTGAGATTGTTATGAAGACCAGAAGGTTACTTTTCAACATGTAAAAAAGTGCAATGAATATCACTGCTGAAGTGCACACATTGCAATTTAAGTTCCATACTTCAAAGTTTTAAAATTCTTATACTTCTGTTAAATCAAAAACAAAATTTAAAAACACCAGAAAGACTGAAATTCAAAATGAAGATTACATCTGTGTCGGATATCAAGTTTCCAAATACAGAAATTACACTGGAGCCCAACCAAACCATGTACAACTGTAGTTCTTCCCATAAAAAGGAAGTTTCCCATGTCTGCACCATCCTCTCTCAATTAGCCATTTTAATTCACTATAATATACACAACCACATTTGAAAGGTGTGTGCACATAAAACATCCAACGCCTGAGAGCAAAATGGGATGAGACACAAACCAGAGAAATGTGTGCATGCTCGCCCACGAGCACACTTAAAGATTCAGGACGTAACAATGCTTTGGTATTATAAAACATCCGATAGGATCAGCCCTTTTCACACTTTATTGATATAATATTCACAAGAAGTCAACCACTCAGCACTTTTGCATAAACATCTTATTCCAATACACAAGTCTTAGGAAGTTTCTCCTCGGAAAGGCAGGTGAGAACATTTTCTGTCAGAGTTGGTATTTTTATGAAATATCTGCAAGGGCAATTCACCCTTTACTAAGTGTTAAGGGGTATAATTCTTGTGTGGTAACACCAATTTTTCCAGCAGCATTTATTTAAAATACATTCTGTAAATAGATGAAGGAACATTCATATTGGGATCTGCCAGTTTAGGAAGTCACAGACAACTGCATACATTTTACCCTACAAAGAATCCACATATTGACTCTGAAAGGAAAGCCAGAATTAATGTGAACTGCACAGCCAATCCAGCACACCTGGAAATAATCTAGGGACACAGTTTTTTGGTAAGAGACAAGTTCACGTAACCACAATACAATTACAGTCAACTACACTTACCCGAAATGCTGCAAGGATGATCCTAGTTACTTTCTCTTTGACAGATTCTTGGAGAATATCAGACAGAACTGGAACAATATTATACCTTCGCAGATATTCACACATTTGAGGACTGAACGCCAACAACCATATGGAAAAAATCATCTGATACTGGAGCTGGAAGCCACATTTGTTGCTCAGGACTCCCATGATACTGAAAGACATTTAACATATGTAGTAGAGCAAATGTTTAATAATGGGCAAGTGCACGGTGTACATGACCCTGAACATGTGAGATTTCTTTAATTTAGCAAGTGCTCATTGGCAAAAGCTACATTAAGTTATATACACAACCGAGGACTGAATGAAACCTGTAGTTCATGACACACAGCACTTGCACTTATCTGATCAACTTAATCACTTTATTCAGGTAAACTTTCATTTTTAATGAGTTACTAGGGGTCCGCACCCTCTGCTCCCTACTCTTGCCAACCCCCGCACTTTGGCTGCTTTCGCTTCACTGAGAGAACCTGTTGATGTCATTCTGTCACCTGGCAGGAAAGATCAGATGAAATCAGACTGACACACATTTCCAAGCCTTATGGTTGCAAAGAATGTTTTCTAAATATGATCTAATGCAGTACTTCTCTAAATATAACCTACTACAGTACATTTAACCTCCCGCATTCAGATTAACTGCCACTGGACAGATAAAGTAATCTAGAGAATGTTAATATAATTAATATATGTCACTATCATTTTAGGAGAAACGTGCATCTATTCTGGGATTGCTTAGGGAGTTGGAGAGTGGACAGAAAAAAAAAAAAGAGTAAGACCATGATCTTTGGACGTCCCCAGTTTTATCTTGAAATGAAACAGTTTATCGCTCTACAATGTGCGCAAAATGCAAATTAATGTGCACTCTTTATGATGTGTCTTCTAATCTCAGCCTGTATTCAGAGTCACGCCAGGTCATGAAAGTCAAATACTTATCATCAAGAAATTAGATGGAACTATGACCACAGTAATATATCTGCTGAACAGAGTTTTCACTTATGTGTAAAATAATAAGTAGAGCGGGCCACAAGATTTTAGACAATACCGTTTTTAATAGAAAATATTAATTTGATAAAAATATTGTGGAAATATTTTGATTCTCTCAATTTTATGAAAAACTGTCCAAGTGCTTCTTTTCAACAGAGTCAATGTACTTTGTTTCAACTTCATTGTTTTGGCTATTAAATTGTATTAGTTTATTTCTATATGCTAATTGAAATACACACATTGAACTTACTAAAAGGACATGCATCAGGTAGATATTTGCCAAACAAACTTTTTCAGAATCTTCATTTCACCAGAAATTTTGACTTTTTGATCCACTTCAGGACAAAAGGATTTTTTGTTGTGAATTTACCATAGAATGAAAAATTTGAATCTCAAATCAGCTCTAGTAACAGGTAATTTACAATACAGAGATTAATAATGATTTTTTCCAGGTCAGGCCAGTGACAAGTTTTTGAACTCCTGAAAAACTATTTATTCCATTTTGAAAATAATTGTCAGGGTTTGGGCAGAAAATGACCTATTAAAAAATTGCATAATAAAATGGAGATATAATTCCACAAATTATCACTTTTCACCAATCCTAACATTAAAGATCACTTCAAGTTTCTACCAGACCTTCAATATTTTTTTAAATCTAAGTCTCATATGTAACAAATCTCCTGCATAGCGTTCTAACCTTAAAGACAAATAGCTACGATCACCTTTAAGTTAATAAAACAATACTTTATGAAGACCCAAACAGCTATGTGGCCTCAATGAGCACCCCTAATTTTTCAATCATGTATTTGCATGGATAGATTTTTATATGAACACAAATAAGGGTTTCAGGCCCAAACACTATACCTATAAGATGAGAAAAGTCTTTTGAAAATTAAGCTTAAACACTTAGGCTGCATCTAGACTGGCAAGTTTTTCTGCAAAAGCAAATGCTTTTGCGGAAAAACTTGCCAGCTGTCTACACTGGCCACTTTGAATTTGCACAAGAACACTGACGATCTGATGCAAGATTGTCAGTGTTCTTCCGCAAATACTATGATGCTCCCGTTCGGGGAAAAAGCCCTCTTACGCAAATGCTTTTGCGCAAGAGGGCCAGTGTAGACAGCTGAGAACCGTTTTGCACAAAAAAGCCCCAATGGCGAAAATGGCGATCGGGGCTTTCTTGCGCAAAACCGCGTCTAGATTGGCACGGACGCTTTTCCGCAAAAAGTGCTTTGCGCAAAAGCATCCATGCCAATCTAGACGCTCTTTTCCACAAATGCTTTTAACAGAAAAACTTTTTAGTTAAAAGCATTTGCGGAAAATCATGCAAGTCTAGACATAGCCTTACATTGCAAGGAAGGTCATTTGGGGAACAGACTACTGAGCATGTTTGAAAAGCAACTACGGGTTGGACCTCTCTGGACCAGCACTCTTGGGGCCTGACTGGTCCAAGACAAGGGAGTTTGCCCGACCATAGGAGGTCTGGGAGAGGGAGGTGCCAACCTTCTCACTGGGCTCTGCTGCCCTCTAGCAAACCACAGATGTTGCAGGACCAGAAAGTCCCAACAGAGGTTCAACCTGTATTCCTGTATAGAGTAAGCAATACACTCACCAGTTTACTCCATCTGCTTCTACCCATGCAAAGCGATATTCATTGACCCGGAGCATCAGCTGCAGGCATCCAGCCACACACTGCACATATTGGGAACTCTAACGTGGAAACAAGGCCACCTTTATTTTAAGATAATTAAAACATTAAATATTCTTGAAATTTTATAAAAACCTCAGTAGGTCAGAGACTGAATTACAGAAAACAGTATCACACAAATGTGAATTTTTGGAAGAAAGCTTCAATAATTTGAAAGGCATTTTTCTAAAAAAAAGGGACATAACATATGCCCTGTAATGGTGAGTCTGTAATTCAATCTAAACTAGTGTAGGAGAATCATGTGTGCAGATGGATGCTAGTAGAAACTCTTGCAAAATAATATTAAACCTGTGATTGTGACCAGATTTGCTTTATACAAGTGTTCAAGTGCCATGAAAAAAACAAGCAAGTATTCATGCATGCAGGAGCATGTGTCACTGTTTTATACACCTAAAAATGCTTGGAAACCTGTGCAAGTCCTTTGAAAGGCCATTGAATTTCTGACTTTATGCATTGCAGTTTGAGATGGTTACCTTCAGGAAGTGAAATGCTAACCAGCCTCTTCATCTTAAGAAATGAAGATTTTTGTTAACAATCAGCGAATCTCCTTTGCTAAACCCTTTATTAATACTTCTTGGGTACTACACTACTACTGCTTTGTTGGCATTCAGGAAAGGTTGACACTTGATTCCATGTTTTAAAAAGAATTCCGTCAATGCAAACAAGGTACATACATTCACTGAAAGGTTGAAAATTTGTTATCCAGAGTGAAGAGAGGAAGAATGGAGTTCCTCTCCCCCCATCCCATCCCCTTCCAGTATGAAGGGAACTGTGGGGTCAGTCAGGAACAATTCAGCATTTGAGCAACTTCAGATTCAACTGCAGAATTATTATTCAAAGCTTTCATTGAAAAAAAAGAGAAGTGAATCACTAGCCACCTTCCTTCCATTCAATACACCATTGACTCTACAGCACTAGTGAGGCCATTATGAGACAAAAGTTACTCTAGTTAGGATCTGAAGGAAAAAAAAAAAGACTGTCTATAAAGGAATATCACCTTGCCCTTACTGAACTTTTTGGAATTCTCATCTTCTTACATCTGTGATTCGCAAGTGTTATTAGAAGTGTCTTCATTTGATGGTGATCAATAAATACGTATACTTCAGAAAAACTTCGTAATCAAACCATTATGGCAGACTACTGAAAGTGGAATACTGCTACAACTTTGGCAACTAGCAGGATTTCTAACAAGAAGCAGGTTCTCTGAGGAAAATATCCCCTCCCCCCAGAACTCCAACTGTAATCTTAGCTCTGTCACAGACCCTCTCTGTGGAACTAGATATAAATTCAGAAACCCAGAGGCAGAGATTAGAATAAGAGAAGACGACAAGAGGATAGTCAGTCATGCTGCTTGAGCACATAGAAAAAGGATTAGAGGACAACAAAAGTCACAATGTACAGGGCTTTGATGCCAGTAACAGTACTTGCCCACTGGAGTAACTGTTGCAAAGATTGGAAAAATGAATGTTAAATAAGCATTAAATATCTACTAGCTCAAAAAAAAAGGGGGGGGATAGGTTATAAAAAACACTATCTACACATGGTAAAAGACATTCACAATCCCCAAAACCCAACAATCTAAGTAGAGAAGAACTCTGAGTATGAAAATATGTACACAAGTAGGAGCATTTTCTAACACATCTGAATATGCCTTCTCTCTGTGTGTGAAACCAAAGTCCATTGTTTGCTTCTACACATTTAGAACAGTTCCTCCCACTAAATTAATTCTTTGCTTTGTTTACCAGTATGTAAATGGCCTGTCTAAAGCATCTCAACTTGATTTAGCATAAAAACATGTATTATTTCCCAAAAATCACCTCCACATTTTAAAAAGGGGTTTTAAATTATAAACAAATTGTTTTATTGTATTAACAAAAGAGCCCATAAGTTGTATAACCAAAAAGTTTCCCAGAAGTGAAGTCTGTTATATTGGAGAATAATCTCCAAAATAAAGCTGAAAAGCCCAATCATTTGGTATTATATGTTCCTCTGTATACAAACACACATATATATGAAGTAGTCAACGGGCTAGATTAAAAAATTTCCCTCATCTCTCAATCAATCTCAACAGCTCCATGACTGTGAGATATATACATGATAAGCTGACTGAAGTTTAAAGGGTGATTTGGACTGCATATTATACTTTTCATAGTCACAGCAAAACTCTCAAGGTGCCATGAGAATAGTACTTTACTCTGATTTTCTTCAGATTCTCAAACATTTTTACTAATTTATCAGAAAATATTTAGACATGGTTAAAACACTTAAAGGAAGAAAGACTTTTCAAAGCAAGTCCTATATGAAACGAAAAAGTACAAAGCAATAAGAGATGCTGACAGTTCCACAAGAACAGCAAATGAATTTTTTCAGCCAGTTCCCACTTCCACCTTTTTATTAGGGGGTGTAAAAAATGCTTTAAAATGTAACCATTGAACTGTTAAAAATCCTAGCAGTTACGTACACTGTGGGCTCTGCAGTATAAAGATTATACTGCAGACCCCACAGCCCAGCCAGCTTCCCAGAAGCAGGGCCAGTAGCTGGGGATGCTCTAGGAGCCTGATATAAGCACTCCTGTTCCCAGCTGCTGGACTCACTCCCAGAGAGCCGGCTGAGCTGTGGGCTCTGCAGTATAAGCTTTATATTGCAGAGCCTACAGTGCAGAGCAGCAGCCAGCTCTCCAGGAGCAGGGCTGGGAGCCAACATGTAACTGTAACGGAAACCAATAAACTAATGTTTTATCAGTTAACCATTTAAACAGTTACACTCTTGCATCCCTACTTCAAATAACCAGACCATTTATATCAACAGATAAGTATAGGGGTTGCCAGGTGTCCAGTTTTGAACAGGTCAGTCCAGTATTTGAGCTTTCTGTTTGGGAAACAAAATTGAGAAAATATAAATGAGAAAATATAAGTGCCTGGTATTTTCTAAAAGTAAACTTCTGATAATCCGGCACCTTTGGGGCCCAGGGGGTGCCGGATTATCAGATATGCCGGACTATCAGAAGGGGGGGCTATGAGAAGT